ACAACAAAAAGTACTCCACAAAGAGCTCTGTGTTCTGAAAGTGGAGCAGCAGGGCGAGGTATCACAGTGAAGTTCTAATTGGCAACTGCAGAACAGTTTGATTTGATAGAGTTAAGTTGAAAATGATAAAGGAACTCGTTATCCTTTCAGTTAGCTATGAAAGAGACCAAAGAAATTCTCATAAAAGTTCAAAATCAAGCACTACCCACAACATACCTTTCAGATACATAGAAATATGAAAGGGGTTTAAGGAAAACTCAAAGGCAACCATGAAATGAAAGCTCAGGAAAAGAAGGCTGTAAGATCAGAGAGGCCCACATGGGGATTTCAAAGATACGGGTAATGGGCAATGTCTTGGGCTGGGCGTCAGGCCCACAGGTGTTCCTTTTATTATTACCCTTTATAACTCACAAATTTATTATGTCCTTTAAAACATATATGAAACGTTGCACAGTAAAAGATGAAAAACACAAGGGGTGGGTAAAGGGGTAGCTATAGAAATGCAAGCGTATCATACACAAAATTTAATTAGCAGCAACATAAACACATTTCCAGTAGAAAGAATCAGAGTTATTCTCTACGTAAAGTGGGATTAACTTAATGGCAAAGTAACAACCACCATGTGTGCTGACTGCCAAATATACACATCTATTTAGTGCTTAAGATTGCTTAAGATTTTCCTCAAATACATGGAGCCGATTTCACACTGGCCACTCACACCTACTGACCAATTAAGGGAGAAAATCTTTAACTTCATAGGCTCCAATCAAGACATGGGGTATAGAATACGAAGAAGGAAATGTTCCCCATAGCAGGATTGCTTGCTTATGGAAAATATCTGCATATGTTCTAATTACCTCTCTATCACAGGCTTAAATTAGCAGCACGCTCACTGTTCTCACTGGAGGGCCTAATGAGTCTTTGATTGCACATTTTAAAATATTATTTTAACATGTGTGTGTATTTTGCCTAGAAGTATATATACCACCACGTGCACGTCAGGGAGGCCAGAATACCAAATAACCATGTGGGTCCTGGCTATTAAACCCAAGATCTATAGAAAACCAGCCAGTGCTTTTGACTGCTAAGTCATCTTGCTAGCTTCTGTTTGTACATTTTTAATCATAATATGTCCATCAGCCTCAGAAAACACTTCTACAAGGCCTGACAAATATGCAATTATATTTTAATGGGTAAAAATATATTGTATTGGCTTTTTACCTCCCTCTAAAAGCATAAAAAATTAATTTTTTTCAGCTGTCTCATCCAGGGACAAAAATTTTCTGTGTGTTAAATGTACATTTTGTACACAGGGGTTTGTCAGCATCTCTTGATCTGGGGAGTGGGACACGGCAGACAAGTGTTGCAGTTTGTGGCCACACTGTCCCTATACAAGGCTGGATACAGAAGCTGTCTTCTGTGAGTCATTTAGACTGTCTCTAAATCATATTACTGGACACTCATTAGCCAAATTTTCAACCTACGGTGTTTGGTTTTTTTTAGAACATATTAGGATATTTTATGTGACATTTCATTTTACTGAAAGAGTAGGGAATTCACAACAGTTGGTTCTGGGGCTAGATGGCTCAGTGGGCAAACACTGGCTGCTGCGTTTCCATCCCCAGAATTCATATAATAGCTAGATGCAGTCAGTTCCCCAATGGGTGATGGGAAGATGACACTGGAGAAATCATGAGCTGCTCATGGGGCAGCTAGCCTGGAATATGAAGCAATATGATGAACAAGGCAAGCCCTGTCAGATGAGGAGGAGGAGGAGGAGGAAGAAGGCGAGAATACCAGATGCTTTTTTCTAATCTTCACATATGCACATATATAATCATATCCATGGTCACGGGGTTGGGGCTGCTAAGATAATACAAACACTATATATGGCATTTAAATTCATGTATCTAAGAATTACTGGAAGCCTATTGATGGAGGAAGGTCATTGGTTAATTAATAAAGAAACTGCTTGGCCCTGATAGGTTAGAACATAGGTGGGTGGAGTAAACAGAACAGAATGCTGGGAGAAAGAGGAAGTGAGGTAAGACGCCATTTCCTCTCCTCTCTGGGGCAGACGCAATGAAGCTCCGATCCAGGATGGATGTAGGCTAGAATCTGCCCAGTGAGCGCACCTCGGTGCTACACACATTAATAGAAATAGGCCAGGTGGTGTTCAAATGAATACAGTTTGTGTGTTGTTATTTCCGGGTATAAGCTAGCCAGGCGGCTGGGAGCAGGGCGGCAGGAATGCAACCCGCAGCTCCCTCTGAAGGAGGAAGGTCATTGGCTAATAAAGGCACTGCCCTGGCCCATTTTATTGGTTAGAGGATAGGTGGGAGGAGTAAACAGAACAAAATGCTGGGAGGAAGAGGAAGTGAGCACAGAGTTACGACAGCTCTGCTCTCAGGAGCAGACGCCTGAGAGAGACGCCATGCCCCGCTCCCGGAATGAAGCTCCGACCCAGGATGGACATAGGCTAGAATCTCCCCGGTAAGCGCACCTTGGGGTGCTACATACAGATGATTAGAAATGGGCTAAATTAATATGTGAGAATTAGCCTAGAAGAGAATGGGCCAAGCAGTGATTAAAAGAATACAGTGTCTGTGTAATTATTTCAGGGCATAAGCTAGCCGGGCAGGCGGCTGGGGTGTTGGGGATGCAGCCCCGCCACTGCCCTTACTACTTCATCCCTCAACAGCCTATTATGGAGATGAGCAAAAATTTCAGTGACACAGTACCTGGCCTCTACTTGCTTCCAGTGTGTGAGATGCTTCACAGAAGGAAGATACGCTAATCCATAGAAAGGCTACCAAATCCCTACCCCTCTCTGATTCTCGGTGACCTGGGATTTCTCCAGTTATTTACGTAACTGGAGGGAAAAGTATCCAGTCTAGAAGGAGAGGAAAGCACTTTTGGATCTGACCAGAGTTCCCTGAAAAGTGTTGCAAAGACGTAAACTACATAGTACTAGCAGAGCACAAGGAAGGAGCAAACACGCAGGAGGAAACTCTTCCAGATTTCCACATTTGAACAAGGCCTTAAAAGTCAGTTACTATGATAGTGCATTTCCAAGAAAAATGCAATAGTGAGGGCAAGTTACTGGGGCCGGGGTGAGGAGGTGGGGATAGCCTCAGTATTCGAAATGCTATTCAAAAGACAAGGACTTGGGACGTTGGCAATGAGTCTAGGTAACAAAGAATGAGTTGAAAATGATACTTGAGCACACTGTTTAAGCTGTTAGAGAGGGAGTGGGAACTCTTCCAATTAGGGTAGGTAACTGGCATCCATCTTGCAGATCTGAAAGTAACCCAGAAGTGTGTGTGTGTGTGTGTGTGTTTCCTCAATAAAAGGGTAAAAGTAGTGAGCATAACATATACAGAATCTGAAAAAGCTGATTTCATAGAAACTGAGAGTGGCTCAAATGCTTCCAATGTCCAGGGAAAGAAGCATGGTTGGCATTTAGGGACATGTACTGTAGGCATGGCAGGAATAAGAATAAGTTCTATTGCCCACCAGAATGAATACAGCTACCCATGATCTACTGTATATTTCAAAGTAGCTGTAAGGGAGTATTTTAGATATTCTAAAACAAAGAAATAATAAGCTTAAGTGACAGGTGTGCTAATTGGTCAGATTTGATCTGTATACAATACACAGATAAAATGAGACACACATTGTACACTATTCATGTGTATAATTATATGTCAATCAAAAGTAAAAGCCAGAAATGGCAGAATACACGTGTAACTCCAGCAATGGAGAGGCTGAGATACAAGGGTAGGTAATTTGAAGCTAGCATGAGCAACAAAAAACTAATGATAAAAAAGTAGACAACATGGAAATAAAGTTAACAGATACATATTCTGGTCTTATTTCAACACATTTTAGAAAGATACACACCCTCCAATTTAAATATGTACAACTTATTCACAAAAATTTACTCTTATTTAGGCTAGTCTGATCCTGGGGTTGGTGTGGTTCTTCTGGTCACATTTTCATCTTTTTCGCTTTGGGCCAATGTCTTCTTTCCCAATTGCCCTTGGCTTAGGTCCATGGCTGGGTTATCAACCCAGCTGCAGGTGTGTCACAGAGAAAGCTCTGCTAGTAAACAAGAGGTGTGAACTGTCTATGAGATGATAGAAAAGGGAAACCTGAACTGGGGAAGGCTGGGGGTGGGGTGTAAAGGGGGAAAAGTAGTTAAAGCCACAGGTCACAAAGCACATGTCTTTAATCCCAGCACTCAGAAGGCAGAGGTAGGTGGATCTCTGAGTTCATGGTCAGCCTGGTTGTACAGAAAGAGTTGAGTTCTAAGACAGCCAGAGCTACACAGAGAAACCCTGTCTTAAAAAACAGACAAACAAACAAAACCCCGAGGGGAAAAAAAGAAGACCACAATTCACAATATTGATGAGAATTGTCCTAGGGAGGGAGGGTGGCTTCACCCCTTCAGGGATGACTAGACCCAAGGTTACACATCTGGATGCACATCTGCAATCTACAAAAACACTCACTGGCCAACCCTTCCTGAAAACAGTTTTATGAGGAAAGTGTGGCAAACACCCTATTTTCCAGATGAGGAAGTGGCAGAGGACAGTCAAGTGCTGCGTGACAGGAGCAAAGCTAATAAGCCAGGGACCAGGACTAAAGTTCATGCCAGCAGCTCTGCACACAGTTTCTTTCCTTTAGAGGAAGGGGAACAGGAAGAATCCTGTTTCCATGTTATTATTTAGACTGTCATGGATCATCTCTAATGTTCCATGGAATAAGATATGAGAGTGAGACAAGCTATAGGATTTTAATGAATCTCATTTAAAAATACACTTTAAGCACAGTATTTAAAAAAAGTGTTTTGTAAATTTATTTATAAAAAGTCAACAGTGCAAGCAAAGGGATGACAGACATCAGAAATATAAATTGCTGACTTAAGGACATAAGCCTTTCCATGTCTTAAAAAAATGAAAAAGAGTAACTTCACACTAGAGGGGCATTCCCCTTACCTAGAAGCGACTGCTTATTTGGGGAGGAGTCAGACTCTGAAGAACATCTGCATGACCGGAGAACGATCACTCCACCGAGCACGCCATCCTCACTGGCAAGGAAAGGTGAACCTGGGCAGAAAAGACCGACAGTCACCTTTCAGTCACTTTCATTTTTTCATTTTCAATTTCCATTTGATTACTAGAACAAAATGGGGCACGAATAAGAACTTGAAGGATGCCCAGTTTCTGACAATCATTGTTCATACCTCATATACACTTGATGGTAAAGGCAGTTTAATGCCTGAACAGGAGCCATTTGGCAAAGGCAGTGCCATATACTGCCAAGTTGACCTGAACTGGGGAGAGTTCAGTTTTGTATTTGGAATACAAGTGGAAAATATCACAAGATTAAAGGACCAAAACAACCACACACACACACACACACACACACACAAGCTCAGCATCACCCTTTGACCAACTCTCGGGAATCCTACACAAGGCTCTCCCTGCTGCCAGAGGCACCCCACCAAACGCTTTGATTTACTACCTTAAATTCAATTTTAAACAATAAGCCACAAAGTTTATTACAAACATTTAAAAATGCTCCTGATGGTTTACACAAATAAGGGTGAAGCCAGATTTCTATGATGTGAATCTGGTGGTTAGAAACAACCCAGCCTCCTTGAGATCTCACACACCGAACCACTGTGAACATTTCAAGAACATTACATTTTTAAAGCCCCTCATTTTCCCCCAAGGACATCTTCTTGTACATCTGGCATAACAAGTGAGCACGTGGAGAACAAATGCAAAATTAACCCAACAACTATCAAAGAAAGTAGTAAAAATAAAACCAACCAAATTGGATTTGGGGGAAACTTCTGGTTAAATTTAGTAGATTAAATACATGCATTTATCTCCACTCCCTCCTCAAATCCCTGGGAATGTTGGATGGAAAAGGAAGGAGGGTATAAAAACGAGGGGGAAAGAAAGCAGATTTTGGGGAAGAGATGGAGAAGCAGCTATTTCACTTGCAGACCTAGTATACCGGCTAGTTTTTATATGTCAAATTAACACAAACTAGGTCCATCTAGGAAGAAGGAATCTTAATTTAAAAAAAAGTACATCTACAGGATCGGCTTGGAGGCAGGTCTGTGGGGCATTTTCTTGATCGATGATTGCTGTAGGAGGTAGCCCAGATCACTGTGGGTGGAGGTCCTGTGTACTATAAGAAAGCAGGCTAAACAAGCCATGAGGGGCAAGTCAAAAAGCACCCTCCGTGACCTCTGCATCAGCTCTTGCCTTCAGGTTCCTTCAATGATGAGCTGTGATGTGGGACTATTGCTGATAAAAGACCTTTTCTCCCCAAGTAGCTTGAGTCATGGTGCTTTATCACAGCAGTAGATAGACTACCTAAGATACCTATGAAAGCTAAATCTCAAGTTTTCAGGTAGTAGGGAACTTATAGTGGAAGGAACCTTCAAAAAACTATCTAATTTAGCTGCAAAACTGAAAAGGATCAAATATAGGAGGCCTATATCTCCTCTGAAGGCAAATGAACAGAGAAGAGGGGAAATGGAAGTAGCTGGTTTAATATCTGAAAGAATCCTCCAGAACACTGGTCAGCAAACTATGACCTGCTAAGAATTAAAAACAAACAAAAAATTTTAATGGCTGGTTTTTAAAAGTTAAGAAAGATAGGAGAGGAGAAAAAAAGAAGTGGGGGGGGGGGCAGACAAGTAGGTAGCAGGGACCACAATGAGGTTTGTGAAGCCAGTGACCTTTATTCTCAGCCTTTAGCAGAAAGCTTGCTGTCCTAGTCAGGATTACAGCTGTGGTGATGAAACACATAACCAAACCTACATGGGGAGGAAAATTATTATCTGGCTATGCTTTTACATTATTGTTCATCATCAAGAGAAGTCAAGACAGGAACTCAAACAGAGCAGGAACCTGTAGGTATGAGCTGATGTAGAGGCCATGAAGGGGTGCTGCTTAGTGGCTTGCTCTTCATGGCTTGCTCACCCTGCTTTCTTACAGAACCCATGAACATTGGCCCAGGGATGGCCCCACCCACAGACTGGACCTTCCCCCATGAATCATTAATTTAAAAAAAATACACTTCAGGCTACTCTGTTGACAGCATAATCTTCTACATACATGTTCTTAATTGAGGTTCCCTTCTCTCAGATGACTCTGGCCGTATCAAATTGATATAGCCAGCACACTTGCCAATCCCTGATCTAGGACAGGATTCATTCTAGAGAAGAGTCTAAACCTACAGAGACTGGATAATCGCCTTACTGCAAGCCATCAGGCACAAGAGAAACCTATTTGTAACTTGTCCTTGCTTTATGTCGAGGGAGAAGGTGAAGAGGGGAAGGGAGCCAACGAAGAGGGAAATATGGGAAATGACCCTCCCTCCTCATCTCTGCATTGACCATTTGTCTTCTAGCAGTGACAAAAGACTCGGTCAACACTGCTTAAGGAAGGAGGACTTACTTCAGCTGAGAGCTCAACCTTCTTGCAATATTTCTATCAGGGCAATAAAACATAATCTCAAGTAAAAATTTGCTTTTAGCCGACTCCTAGTTTTTTTTTCTCCTAATTTTCTACACTCTATAAAAAGCCAGTAGGTCTTTGACCGAGTGTGATGCAAATATCTCCCCCAATTTATTAATGACTCTGATTTTACTTCTGATTCTTCATTTTTGGCTTACTTGTTTCTGATGCTTGGGCAGCTGATATGTCAGCCTTTTTCCTTTAAGGTTTCTGTGATGCAAGTTTTACAGGAAAAGCCTTCGCTAGTGGGAAATTATGAAAATATTTTGTTCATGCCCATGTTTTCTACTAGCACTTTTACAATTACAGACTTTAATTTTAAGACTTCAAACTTCTGGAATTAATTTTAGGGTAAAGATTGTTGTGGAAAACTTGTGGTAGATTTATTCCCCCTAAATAGTCAGTCAAATGCATAATAACACTTTGGTGAAAAATTCATTCCTTCTCTACTGACTTTAAAATGTCCTTTTTCTACTGACTTACAATATATTTTTATCATATATTAATTCTCATATTATTAAACCCATACATTTTTAAATGATAAAAGCTACTCTCATATAAATAGTGTTTGAATCTACTTACAGTTTTGCAGCATATTATTCTTGATTGGACCAGTTTCTTCTCAATATTTATTATATGAAATAATATTTTTCTGCTTTCAAATGTTTTTCAAAATAGCATTCCTTAACAGTTTTGCCTTTTATTCTTATTGAAAATTTTATGCGGACACATTTTAAATAAATTGTGATTTTTGCCTATGAGTCAAATATATTGATAAAATTTCCTTTGGTATATATTTAATACTTCTACTCTTAAGTTTTAATCAAATAATTGCAACTGTTGAATGTATTCTGATTTATAAACTTCCTACAGTTTTTTCTCAGTTCTTAGCCTTTCAATCTATCCTATCTCATTTACCACTATCCATATTTCTAATGCAAACAAACAAAAATCATGCTACGTGATGTTCAGTTTGGTTTCACAAAACAGAACAAAACTCAGAACAAAATAAAAGTCTTCATGTTTCCAAGAGAGGTTGGATATCACACTGTCTATGATTGAGGTTAAAACACTCTGAATTGGATGGAAAAGGTTTAATTTAACTAGTCAAAAGTACATGAAAAACTTTCCTGATTCAGTATTTAAAACATATAAAGTATTTTAAAACAATTCTGAAGGAACAGAGGCTTTTCTTATTACAGCCAAGATCCCATGTGTGTGTTACACCTTACACCCCTTTCTATAATATAGTTCAGGATGTCTCTCAGAACTGTGTTTATGAGCAGTGTCTTTTGCTACAGGACCCAGCTGATACGTTTTGTTTTATCATGGGCTTGGCAAATAAAGTTCAAATGTTCAAATAATGCAGATAAACATTGGAAAAGTCTCTACCAATCTCTGCACAAAGATATTAAATGGAATTAGGTTATCAAGACCACCACATACCTTCCAATGCTGCTGCTGCATGTTTTGCCCAGAGTACAAACTCTTCTCACTTTCACTTTGTAACCTGTTTATTACACATAAGCCCATAACACTGAAGAATCATTACTACTGCTCACATGGAAGAGTACCCAGTGGTAAGAATGTTATAGGTTCTCAGTATCTGCTACAGGCTTCCAAAGAATTACTGAAAGGTAGATAACCACAGGCAATGGAAGCACCACATCTCTGGTATAAACAGCACTAAGAGGCAACTTGTTCAGGGCACAGACGAGAATGCTGTCATATCAACAAGTTCAGAACTAGTTCACAAGAAAAGAAGAAGGGCCAGGCGATGGTGGCGCATGCCTTTAATCCCAGCACTCGGAGGGCAGAGGCAGGCGGATCTCTGTGAGTTCGAGACCAGCCTGTCTAGAGAGCTAGTTCCAGGACAGGCTCCAAAGCCACAGAGAAACCCTGTCTAGAAAAACCAAAAAAAAAACAAAACAAAACAAAAAAAAAGAGGAGGAGGAAGAGTCAGGTGTAGAGAGCAAGGGAACAATGATGCTGAATGCACCCAGCACTATGAAGGAAGACACACACACACACACACACACACAAACTGACCAAACTGAAAAGGTCAAAGAGGAATAGTTAGGGTCTGGTAGGGCAGCATACTTTGCTGAAATCAGGTAAGTAATAAACAAACATAAATCTGTGTTATAAGAGAAGCTTTGAAAGACTGACAGTTCAGAGGGCCAAGAGGATGATATCACTTGCCAAGAACTTTTGCTTGGCAAGCTGAGAACACTGTAAGCAAAAGGGGCATCCTTGTCTAATGGAATTTGAGCCACATCTTTCATTGTTTCAAAAAGACATCAAGTGCTGCTGGACACAGATCCCACAATGAGGAGTTCTGCACTATGAGTGTTCCCTTCCCACTGGAAGTATTACATATGTTAACTGTTCTTTTTGTCTTAATCCTATGTGATAAAAGGGAAGGGATCACCACAAAGAGTGTATGGATAGCACTATTACTTCATTTATTCTTAAGGCATTATTGAGTATTATTAGTTATTTACCCTACCTGAGCATGACTTACCCTACCCTGCTTTGTATAGATAGATCATCAACAACAAATCACA